AGTCCATAAAAACGCAAAAATGTTTATGATGGTCCATGAAAACGTAAAACAACAACAGCAATAACAAACCCAAGTTAATATCTAGCCATCTTGACCGAACAAGCTTGGTAAAATATGATTAAGTTTTATTATCCAGTATAAATCTTTGGCTTTAATATTAATCAAGAGTAACTGGTTTTATCTCCGCTGGGAAAGAAAGCCAACTGTGAAGGCGCTTTCTCGTTTTCACAAATTGAAATATAACATGTTTTGATAGATTTTCAACAATCCCTATTTGAGATTAACTTGAAACAGATGACTATAAACTCACTCGTTTTCCATTCGGTTTGGCCGGCTCGACGATCGCCACGATAGCCTCTGCCTTTGCAATCTCTGAGGAAAGGAGTGACTTGCAGTGAAACTACCGGATGTCTTCTCGGTGAAAAATTACGGTGCCTCGTGATACAGCTGATTCTTTCGTCAAAAGTTAGCTTTCGATTTACTCAAGAAATTTCTCTACTCTAGAGCAATGAAGGAGGGGAACCTTCGCCGCACATAGTGCGATGGAATAAAATGCTGTGAAATTTTTTGCCCTAATCTTGACCTGAACACCGCAGCGAGAGACCATCTTTGTCAATCTTCGCCGAAATCTTCGTACTCGCAACTTTCATTTCTTCTCTACAACTTGAGTACGATGTATCACAACTCTCAATAGAGTTTGTTGATAATTTGTGTCATAGGCACTTTAATTACTCGGTTCTCTGGATGCAATACACAATTCTACTAACATTCAAGCATATTTCATTCTGTGTGACCCTCTTGTTAATCTCTATGGCCTTCACACTTTGATACTCACTTCTTCCTCAACCAAGAAAGTTTGACCTTACTATTTTGCACAATGTCTGCATTTTTTCTAGTCTGCTTTCCTCTCTCCTCTCTCTACTCTCCTGAATAAGCTATAAAGAACAAGCTTTAATAGTCACTACTGACAGATATGGGCAGGTATGCCAGCCAGCTGACCCTGGGAGATTGAACATTTTTGTTAGAACACTAAACCAAACAATTTCATGAGACTTTCGAAATGAGTAACGAAGTATTTAATCACAATGTTTACGCCGGTTCAACAGAATCAACCTCTGATTGCGTTGGCCTAAACATGAACTTTCGTGTGGGTCCAAAGCACAGTCAGTACACAAATTAAGCACGTCCACCTAGAGAAGTTACAAAGGCTGTCACGAGTCGGAAATTCATCCCGTCAGCTTAAACCTAAATAACGCCGGAATTTGATATCCACTCTCACTTTATCAAAGCTGATTTATAATCGAGTAAAAAGGCATAAGGTTTCTTTGAAAACAAATCAACGGAGGACATCTCTTTAAAACCAAAGAGATCACCAAAGAGTTTTCAACATTTGCTTAATGGCGGATACGGTGAAGACACGCTGTTTAAGTAATTGACAAATTGTAAAGTGTTTTGAATGACAGTTTTATCTCACTATCGTACGAATAAAATTGAATGATGCAAACGAATCTGTGGTCGTTTTTTTGATGACGCAATCAGTTAGTCATTTGAGAAAAACACATGCGCAATTAAAAGCAATTTGTTGTTAGGGCTGGCCACTGGCAAAAGATGGTCGCATGTAATAGAACAAGGATAAAAATGAATTCTAAAACTATTCGCTGTTCGTCAATTCATCCTACGTTCAGAAAGGAGAAACCACCCGTAAGGGGATTTGGTCTCATTGGGACCAGAGCCAAATATCTCTGTTTTTGGTGTCGGTATGGAATACAGTCGTAACCGCATTGGCCACAAGGCAAGACAAGATTTGAAATTTTCCAATAGTTTTCTTTTTTTTTTTTTTTCTGCTATTAAACGGCTAGCGGTTAAACCATTTCGAACGTTTTTTAAAAAGTGCAAGCGGACTGTTTCTGATTCAAAAACCTTGTCATGGAATTCTCCCTTACTGTCGGAAAATGTTTCGTGACTCACTTAAACTTTCTGATTTTGGTGACCTAAGGTAAACTAAACTTGTGCTTTTGCAATTCAAATTATAGAACCCCTTCGTGGGGTGGGTCAAATCAGACTGGTTCGAAAGTGGGGGCTAGTGAGATTACAAATCTCCAGAGGTTGGCATCCTTGCGCGGGCATTTCTCGCTCACTCACCTTTAAGTGATTTAAGAAAGCAACTGTTTTCAGAAGATTTCAGGTTGTCATTCGCTTAACCGTGTTAAATATCGCCAACGAATTGGAAAGCGCGGCTGGTGCTTTTCATACGTATTTAACGGTTTTTTTTGATAACAAACAGGATATATTAGATAATCAACTTAGTTAATAATACCAAATTACCTTGTTATTCTCTCCCACCGAGGCAGCACCGCGGTTTCTTTAGAATGCTACCCCGTTCATGGAATTTCTTGTGGTCAACTGAAATTGATAAGACGGTGATATCACTCCTTCCCATTTCAATCACGAACTGTCATAGAAGGAATCTAATTCCATTGTAATATTCATAGCTTTTCGTGCACCTGAAAAAAATGAAATTGTTTATTTTCAGGCCTCTAACGTATTATGCAATGAATATTTAAAATATCTAACAAGAAGAATCAATGGTTTACCCGTTTACACTACGGTATGTGAAATATTAACTACTACAATTTCAGCATCGATTGTTATGAACTCGCGCATCTTCATACAAAGATTGGTCCTTAAAAAACATGTCCTCTTTCAATGTCGCGAAAGTGCAGTGTCATTTCCAACTCAGTTTCCCTAGCTCAGCATGACTTTTGAAAGGCTACCTCAACCAGTGGGCGTTTTCATTAATTTGAAGTTCATGACGAAAATTCTCGATAGAATTAATTCCATTAGAGCTGTCTCTAGCAATGACAGAAGTACTTTACTCTCACGATTTTTGGGCATAAAACATGTGCGCATGCACTCAGGTAATTAAAAACTCAGGAGCAGATAGAGACTCAGTTAGTCTTTAGGAAACCTTGCCTGCCATATCTTCGGTAGAGTTTCTCTATTTCTCTTCAAATATTACGTTTAGGCAGCGTGGTGCATACACCACCAATAGAATGATCATGAGAGGCATTCAACAAAGAATAGGTATGTGACATCAAGCTAAAAACTTATGGTGCTTAGATCCAATTCTCACTTATCCGAATGTAGGACTTCTTATGCAACATTTTTTACTTGGAGGGGATCAGAGTTCTTCCAGCAACTAACTAACCTATGGGGTTTATATGCAACGCTCATCTTGCAATACAACAAGAACACTCGAAGAGCCTACTTTATATTATCAATAGCGTTGCATGGAAAAGAAATCGCCTTCAAACGTTTCGCAATTTTTTTTCGATGCTCTTCTAGAAAAAAGATAAACAAATATTATCAGTCTATGATTTTAAAAAAGAATGTTTCAGTCCCTAGCTTTTCAATCCATCTCTTCCTATACGAATACTGCTTTATAAGGCATGTGTTTTTGTTTGGGACTGGTCTGTTGTGGTTAGATATGAGGATTATCTTCCACCATTTTGCTGAAAAAAAGAGCTTTGAGCGCCTTGAATGTTCTTATTTTTTTACCCAAGCCTTTGATTGATTTGGTGCGTGAGCTTGTGAGAATAGGTGTCATCGTATTCATGTTAAAGCCTCTATAAACTATGTACCTATCTTTATACTTTGCTTATATTTCATTGACCTGTATTTACTTTCATTTATATTCATCTTCCTTTTTCTACCTTCATCTTCCTTAATCTATCATCATTGGCCTTCATTGTCCTTTACTTTCCACCATTGACATTCATCGTCCTTCATCAACCTCCATTTACCTTCAACTACAATTATTTACCTTCATCTGTCATCGTTGAACGTCATTGTCTTCATTTCGGTTTTAATATATCTTCGTCTCACTTATTTTACCACACACTGCCTCATTGTCCTTTATCCCCGTCCTTTGCCTTTATTTACCTTCATCTACCCTAATCTACCTTAATTTTCTCCAGCTAACTTCATCTACCTTAATTCACCGTGTTATTATCTCATTTAACTTTTTATCCTTCAATGCCCTTCCTTGTCCTTCATCTATCTTCTTTTGGCCTCATCCACCTTCATCAACCTAAAATTACAATCATTTATTTTCATCTACCTTCCTCTGCTTTCATCTTCCTTAATTTACTGTCGTCTACTTTCATCTACCATTCTTTACCTTCAAAGACCTTCATTGGCCTTTGTCTATCTTTATGTACCCTGATCTATCTTCCTTCTCCTTTTATCTACTTCATTGTCCTTTAGCTACTTTCATTTATCCTCATCCTCCTTCAGCTTATATCTTTTATCTTCATCTACTTACATCCATTTTCATCTGCCATCATTCACCTTCAGATAACTTCATCTTCCTTCATCCTCCTTCATCTACCTTATCTACCATCTTATACCTTCATTCACCTTCATCTATCTTCATTTACCTTTATTTACCTTCACTTATCTTCATTTTCCTTCTTTTACCGTCATTTATCTTCATCTACTTTTATTTCCCCTCTTCTAACTTTATCTAACTTCGAATGAATTAATCTTCAACTCCCTTCACTTACTTTCATCTCCTAAATATACCATCATTTACCTTCATTGGCCCTATTCTACCTTCAAGCACCTTCATCTAATTTCATTTTCCTGAATGTACAAGACTTTGGGTTTATTTAACTTTATCTACCATCATCTACCCTTATCTACCCTAATTTCCGTTCACTTACCTTATTCTCCCCTCATCTACCGTCATTCCCCTTCAACCATCTTCATCTCCCTTTTTCTATCATCTTTTACCTTCATCTTCTATCATCCATGAAAAACTTTTCAAGAAAGTGCAGTTTTTGACAGTTATCCTTTAAAACGCCAAAAATCACCTTTCTGACCATCTAAATTTCAACAATTTCTGGGGAGCATGCTATCTATCTACCCCTCCAAGGACTTTATTTATTTAGCGAATATTAATCCGACCCCCCTTACTAATCCTCGATTTCTATCCTTCAGGTTCTGCTCTACTTTTTCTGGCGCTCTCTGTGACTTATCAAATTCTACCATCAACGCGGGCATTCCCAATAGATTGCCAAAAGAACACTGCAGTTTGTTTGAAAAAAATAACGAAGGACGTCACCCAAATTCAGGAGAACAAAACGGCATTGGCGAGATGTAAGCACGATTCCCCTTCGTTCATGTGTGTTACTACCTTTATTAAAATCTATTAATTTATATTTTTTATCATTATTTTTCAAGAGAATACCAACTGTTATTCCCCTTGTATTTTATCAACAGCTAAGAACTGTGTTGAGCTCTACTATTCCGGTCAAAGGATCAGCGGTGTTTACACAATCGACCCTGATGGCTCAGGTGTCTTTAATGTCTATTGTGACCAAACTACTTCCGGTGGGGGATGGACAGTCTTTCAGAAGAGATTGGATGGCTCCGTTTATTTTAACCGCACCTGGAATGACTACAGATATGGCTTCGGTAACTTGGTCAGTGAATTTTGGCTCGGACTGGACAAGATAAACCGTCTGACACAAAACAAAACAAAGAACATGCTTCGAATAGATCTGGGGTTAACTACGCGCCAAACTGTTCACGCTGAGTATGAATGGTTTGGGATTGGGAATGCGACGGCAGACTACCGCCTGTACATTGGCAATATGACAAGTAAGTAAGCCGTCTTTTTAAACATTCATCGTTCGATTTTTATGTGTTACTTCCCTATCGACGTCTACTGCCCCATTCACACCAAAGCTTAAGAGCTGTTTTGCTAAAACCATTTAAAATGTGTTTCTTCAGAGAGGCTGCTTAAACTGATGTATGTCCATTTCAAACTTAGCAAATTTAGCAAATTAACAAGTTAGTGACAACTTGAATCCTATGAAAAACTGGTTTTCAATTCAATCCCTTCTCCCAACTCCACGTAACCTGCAAAGAATGGTTTGTTCTAGTGTATACCCGTTTGACTGTGTTTTGCTGTTAATTCTGCCCATACCAAGTTGAGTCCGCGCTCCTCCTTGGATAGTTTTCTTAAGCTGCTTGAGATAGAAAATTCATTGACCTCGGCTTTAGCAAAATCATAAAATTTGAGTATTTTCTTATTTTCCCAGGTGTTTTTGTATTTGGATATCTGCCCTACTTCGTCGATTCGTAGCTATCGAGTTTGAGGTGTTATCTTGATCCTAATATTATGGAATTTTGGTATTTATTATTATTATTTTTTAAGCAGATTCAACTGTTTCCTCTGACTCCCTCAATCCTCACAAAGATCTCATTTTTGGTACCTGGGATAGAGATCCTGCCCATTGTACTCAAAAAAGAGGCGGAGGCTGGTGGTATGGCAACAGTAGCGCTTGTGCTGTTTGGTCGAATCTCAACGGAATTTATCCGCATTGTCGAAAGGAAACCTGGGCCGATATCCATTGGGGAAAATTAGATCCAAACAGTCCCGCGGGCAGCGCCCCCACATCAACTGAAATGAAAATTAGACCAGTGGATCTTTTTTCAAATTTTCTGACGGTAAAGTGTTCATGTATATAGTGATTTCTGCGTCCTCTGATCGGTCGACTTCGCTTTATTACAATTCCGATTGGCAGATTAGTGATCGAGTGGCCGTCCTTGAATTTGAATGAATTCCGCCAAGGGAACACCATCGTTAGCTGTTTCCCTCGCGATCAGGCATCAAGTGCATTTATTTGCATGCATGGTGATTTTGATTCTTTTTTACGAACTATTCATTCTTGATTTGAAAACGTTGCAATTAAAAATTAGTTCTCTTGCTGTCGAAATTAAACCAAAATATCTGTGATTTCAGTTTTTGAATATCCGACAAAGAAATAAATCCGGACCAGTCGATGCTGTTTTTAAACTTTAAGAGGTAATTTGCACGACAAGAAATAAAACGTGTATTTTTTTTTTCAACGCCTTTTAATTCCAGATTTTAAAATGCTTAGAATACGCAGATTAGAAGAAATGACCAAATTATACACAACCATATATAGTTAATCAAATGCGATTTCAGAAAAGAATCTTTTCATCATATCAAGATTAATTCAGAAGGATTTATATTTATGGAACGTTCTAAGCTATTAGCTAGAGTTCCTAAATGTTTTTACTTATTTCTATAGAGTTTACGTTTTCTAATGATTTTTAAGCTTCACTATCTTAGAGCTATCAATCAAGCGATTTAAGATTATAACAAAATATGCAACTTAGGATATGTGAGTTTTACCGTATGAAGAAATAAAGACTGTGGTACATTATTTATGCATTTACGTCAATAGCTATGCGATAGCGTTGTCATGATAACCCAATAGGCTTCAAACCTACCATACTCGAGGATTTTCAAGCCCTCAATGATTATTCATTTTCGTATTTGCCAGTGAAACTTCTTACGCACGATTGACTGTAAAGACTGTAAAGGTATGGAGGTGTAAGTTGGGAACCTAATTTTATCACAAATTGGTAAACAACTTCACAAGTACTTTATTTTGCATATCTTGATAATATAAAAAAACTAACCAAAACAAATTAGGATAGATACGAACGGAAAACGCTATTTGTAATCTCTTATGAATTGTTAGTGAAGCCCTGGATAAAGAAGGATTAAAATATGATTTCGGTCACGGTATGGCAAGGAAATGAGCGTACTTTGACCCTTAATTGTCTGCACTGTTCTAACATCTGATGAAACTGCAAATTGATCAAAATGAACGATGAAAATGTCTTAAATTTCTCTCCCAAAGTCACGGAGTAGCATGAATAGCAAATACCAAACTTGGAAAATTCGCCATAAATTTTGCTCAAACTGTCACATGGTCGGAATCTTCAAAATGGATGGAGACAGATCATTAAGCTAATTAGCTATCGTTCTGTCAAGGAAAAGTCCAAGACACTAAGGTAATGTTATTTATTTGTTTCCCTCTCAATTTAAAATCTCTAAAATACAAAGCCAATAGTTTTGTTTAAAAATGCGCAGAAACACTTTGTTTTCACTTTTTACCTAACCTCTTTCGTGTTGAAAGAAATTGAGACAGTTTAAGTAATCTTTCATAAATCTTGATTGTCATGTTTATTGGATTTAACCTGTCGGTCGGACCGCCTTTGCGAATTGAAATGCTGCCAGAATAAAGTCGTTGAATAACTGATCAATAACGTAAACGGATTACTGCCACCTTCAAGTCGCTTCAAGGTAGAATTTCTTCTCACAGCATCAACACAATATCAAGCAGTCGAATGTTGATAATATCGAGAAATATCAATAAGGGAATTATTTATTGCAGGATCCAATACAAAATTTCCCAAAATAAAACCATAAAAATAGAATGGCAGCCAGTAAGGAGAATTTCTTATGACATCTTGAGAGTAAAAAGCCGGTGAAGGGGTTATCACGGCTATCACTGCACTAAAGAATCTATCGAGCATTAGAAAGTGGACCGTGAGCAACTCCCATCTTCCGTCATTAGGATTTCGAGTCCTTAACGCGCGAATAATACAAGATTAGCTTAGGCAGGAGCGGGATGCGGAGGATAGAATGGAATACAGTTAAGTGACGCTCTCGCTAAGAGCGGTCCTCTCGACTTCCCGTCGGAAAAAAAGTTTTCTTTTATTTTTTGGCCATGAAAAGGATTTAGGACACATGTTTCAAAAATAGTTTAGTTGTTCTCCAATTCTCTGTTTTTGCGTCGCCACAAGCCAAAAATGATTTTTGGCCAGACCACCAATGTGGACAGCGATCGAAAGTGTAAATTTCAAAGATTCTATCCAGCGCGCAGCGACTGCAACAATGTAGCTCACGGAATTCTATCTTGCTACAAGTTACAAGATGTATTCACTTAGTTCACAGACAAATATGGAAACTTAAGCTGAAATATTACATATCAAGCCGGGTTTGTCCAGTTGATTTCGATGGTCGCAGGGAAATGTCGAGTTTGTCGCTCAAACCGTTGTGGTCCAAGAGCGTAACATCATTAATGACAGAAACTAGAAATCAGTAATTGACACAGTCATTGGTGGAAAAAGAACTCCGAGTCGGATTTTCAGATTTTCTGAAGACTCGTGACAGGCTGAGTTGTTTAGAGGGCATGTAAACCCAAAAAACATTCATTTTATTTTCACATAGATTTTTAGTAAATATATCAAGTACACCAAAGGTACCGTTGGTTTTTTTTTTCAAAAGTCCATTTTCAATTTGTAAAAGCTCTTCCAAATTTGAAACATTCGCCATCTTGAATGGCGCTATCTTTCCTGTGACGTTACGGGTGGAACCTCCACCGCGTGAGACACGAAGGAGTCTTTTCCACAGCCGTTGTTTGCCGGTCTCGTCATGATTTTCTTACTTACGGTTTGCTTCAGTATATTCAATTTTTTAATAATGGTAAAGTTTTGTGTCGTCCAGTTTTGTACTGATTAAAACAAAACTGGGCATACAATGCAAATATTTCAAAATGACGCTAACTTGAAGCGACAATTTGTGAAATTTGTTCAAGTGAAAATAGCCGATTTCGTCGAGTCTTTCGAACATTCTGTTGTTCGTAGCAGTCGTTTTCCTTTCTGGTGCTGCACCGACGATACAGGCCCTACCAGAAGCAAATAGGAAGTATAAAAACGACCCATAGTTGATAGACGAAGAGGATTCGGTAGTGGCCGACCGAACTGAGAAAGAAGTTGAGCTTTTCAAAAGTTAGAGGTCAACAGAGACAGTACAAAATCGATTTACATGTAAACGTTTCGTTAATTAAACAACAATAGCTTTATTGGTTCTCTAAAAACATCTTTTTTCTGATCTAATGGAAGATTATGGGGAAGCCAGATGTTCGGGAGCCAGCGCTGAGCCCATAAAAGACATCGACCTGTCTAAACCTTTGCCTGAATTCGAAACACGTATAAAAAAAAGAGAATTCGTTGATGTCGGTGTGTAAGAACGTGATCTGGAATTTTGTTGGTTCAATACAAAGAATTCTATCCAGGATCACATAATCAACCCATATGTTCTATAAGGGAATCCATGCCAGCCCCACTAGGTGCTTCCTATGAGAAATCCTCTAGAGAAACAGCAGAGGAATTTGTGTCACGGTTTTCACAGCAGTGAAAATACATTCAAAAACCAGTAGGACAATATTCATCATTTTGAGTACAGCGTAAAAGATCCTGATTTCAGCTTGCAAAACTATCTTTTCAGTATTTCAAATCGAAGCAAACACAAACAGGGTTGGATAATTACGAAGGCCACACGAGGAAATGAACATGATACAACTTTTTTATCGACGGAAATGCTTCGGGGATGAAGGAAAGTAATACATAAATATCTCATAAAGAACGGGCACACCTCCAGTGCTGTAAGACATAAATAACTAAGATCTGCATAAACATATACCTTTGTTTCTCTCAGAAGTTTGGCGGTTTTAATCCAATGTAAGGCGATCCAAATTCCGCTGGAAAAGTGTTTCGCATATTTGTTCACCACACAAGATGGCACAGCGACCCTGAAGTGTTTGCCGAGATAACCCCAACACCAACGAACAAGCTATCTGTAGGCAACTTAGCGAAATTTCCTGCCAGGAAAGAAGCGAAAAACAACTAGCTCTAGTACTGTATTATTAAATCAATGGCACAAACAACTCAAGCAAATCGATCTTAAAATGTAATAAAACAGATGAAACAGAAAACATTAAGCTTACTCGTTTCCGGTGTGATTATCTGTGCCTTTTTGCTGCCTGTATGCGTAATAAGCGGTCTTCAGCACCCAGAAATTGAGTCAAATTGACTGAAAACCTGGATGCTCAGTGATACAACTTGCCTGGGTTTCAGGCCCTTGCTCCTCTACTTTTTGCCACAATTACCCGATTTCCCTACAACAAACACTTTCATGAGTTGTCAGCATTGGTTGACAAGTTCCACACTCGCAGCTTTGATAATTTTATATAAAACACCCTCAGAAACTCACGTTTAAAAAATTTATGTTGCATCCTTTTAGATTGTGCCCTCGCTTTATTGGATTTTCATGTCAAATACAAATCAATCACACAGTAAATTAAATTAAAGGCGGTCGCATCGCTGTCAACAAGTTCTGTACTATCTTCATGAGGATCGCTTCGGTGAACCCTACGCGGCTCATATTGTTAAGGACGTGGCCCAGACTCTCCTAAAGATTCTGGATTAATCCCATCGCTGTCATGTTCTAAGCTTAAGGCATTCGAGTCGCTATCCTCTGAAAAAACATCTTCCGAACTACCGCTACTTGCTCGAACTCCCACACCAGTGTTACTGGGGATTATGTGTTGCGCAATATTCTAGTTCCACCGCTTACGTCACGACTTCTCGCTATTGTTTTTACCGGAAATGTTATTTCAGTTGAAAATGTCGATTTTCTCCTGAAATAAGTCGAATTGGACAAACGAATTTCAAATTCGTTTTCTACGCCACTTTTTACATAGTAAAAGAAAAACGTGTATTTTTGGGTTTACATGTCCTTTAACTAGGTCCACGGCGACAAACTTCCTCTA